TTTGGACCTCTTTCTGTAGGTTTTGAATTGTTTCCAATGCTTTATCTATTTTATTTGATTGTTCCTGTAGTGCTTTCCTAACTTCTTCCTTATTTTTCTCAATTCCGTTATATAGTGTTTTGATACCTTTTCTAATCATTTTTCTGAATTCCTTCTCAGTCATTTCCAAAGCCTGTCCATCTTCCAGTATGGAGTGTAGGTCTCCTTCCAGCTTAAAGCCTCAGTCACTTTATCTCATTTCTGGACATGTGCTGATATGGTCATCTGCTTATGTTTTTTGGGCATATTCAGGAGTTATCTGTGGCCTTAATACTTAGAAGGGTGTGTATATTTTGGGTTTTTTTTTTTTTATGCTTTCTGATTCCCTCCAGGTAGATGTAATCAGGAGATGGGCTTCCCTTTTCAATCTTCTTCCTGAGAAATTTCAAGGTGCCACTGTTTGTCGTTGTGACATAAACTCAGGATTTAATTTTTGGCCTATTTTCTTTTTAGTCTGCCTGTCCTGCTCCACAATCCCTGTTCAGGCCTTTTTTTTCTATTTATAAACAGTTCAGATCTGGCTGTGGCCATTTGGCTTTAAGTGGAAACTGTCTCTTTAAATTTTGAGGAGATCTGTGCGCATGCATAGTAGAACCCTCAGGGAGTTGGGGTGGAGTGTCCACTCGCTCAGGCACCCCCTCTAGTCACCAGAATGGAGGTGCGCAGACAGCAAGAGACCAATGAACAGATATAAAAAAAAAAAGAATGTCTACAAACCTTTTTCTCTGCAGTTCTATAAGGCATCTGTGGCTGCTCTGATCCTTCCCCTGCTTGGTCTTGCCCAAGATGGCAGCTCCAGGAGCAGCTGAGCTTCCTGAATTAGAAAGCAATGGCTTTCCTGCTTCTGCTACAAATTCCCCCAGCTGTAAGCCTTCCAATCTTCTAAATATTCCTTTATATGTGGTTCAGAATTCTGACACCATTCCCTGAACCTGGATAGTCTGGTATTCTGTGCTTTTGCTGACGGAGCTCTTCACTGCACTTCCACCCTCTCCGCCATCTTGTTTGTTCTATCCAATTATCTTTTATCTTTGTTTTAGCTTTGACCTTTAGCCCCAACCCACCCAGTTTTCTGTACTGACTATTATCTTACTTTCAAAATTCAGGGAGAATACAAATGTCAAAATAAAATGTAACATACAATTCTTTAAAGAAATAAACAAGGAAGAAATGAAAGGGAAAACCCCAGATGGCAAGAAGTGAGCATGTCCTCTCTACAAGTGGGATGGCCCCAGGTCCCATCACTTCTAGACTCCTAATCATCTAACTGATCACCATATACAACGTATACACATATAAAGTAATTTTCCCTTTAATCAAGACTAGATTCACTTTTTTCAAAGGAATTTTGTAAGAGAAAATAAAATCACAGAAATAAGAGTTTACTCATAAATGACTCCTTTATTCAGAGAAAATTAAGAGTTACATAAAAGTGTGGTTGTTCATTACTTCACTTTATCCTCATCTTGGTCAAGTTTGCTTGAAGCAGACTTACAGTCAAGTCTTAAGGCTGATTTGAGCCTTACATGGTCTATGGTCTATAGTTTCTTCACTGCTGTCACCAGCTAGTGTCTTGCCCTCATCTATCCAGGACTATATACCTCAATGTGGTAGATAAACAGGTGATTACTCCAGAAACGTATGTGTTACATTCTTATTTCCAATTCTGAAGGATGCTCCTAGTCCTATGCATATTTCTATAGCAAAGGCAATCACCACATTTAAAACCTAATAAAAGAATGGTTTTTCAGAAATCTGTCCTGATAGGTCTAAAAGTAACATAATATAGAATAACAGACAACTGCAAAGGGATGGGATTTTTTTTGTTTTTTCAGAACACTGACATCATTGAGTTGTTGTTGTTGTTGTTGTTAAGTATCACGGAGTCGGTTCCCACTCATAGTGACCCTGTACAGGGTTTCCAAGGCTGTAAATCTTTACGGGAGTAGAAAGCCTCATCTTTCTCCCATGGAACAGCTGGTAGTTTCAAACTGCTGACCTTGAGGTTAGCAGCCCTATTCATAACCACTACACTAACAGAGTAGGGAGAGGGAAAAAAAACATGAGAGGAAAGTTATATTAAAGTAGTGTGACATACTTTTAAAATATTAATATATCTTTCTAATTAAAACATCAGGAGCTCTGGTAGTATAGTGGTTATCAATCGGGCTGTGAAGCGCAAGGTTAGCAGTTCAAAACTACCAGCTGTTTTGCGGGAGAAAGATGAGGCTTTCTGCTCCTGTAAAGATTTACAGCCTCGGAAACCCTGTACAGGGTTGCTATGAGTCGGAACCAACTCCACGGCACATCACCACCACCACCAATTAAAACATTGGAGTGTGGCACTAAAGGATAAGCACTCAACTGCAATATTAGTTTGAACCACAAGGTTGGGGTTGAAACCCACCAGCCGCTCCTTGGAAACCTTATTCAGGGTCCCTATGAGTCGGAACCAACTGGATAACATTTAACTAACAACAACAGTTATAAAGCCATCAGGCAGATTGTTATTTTGTCCCCAGAGTCTACAAAATCAAGGAAAACAAATTTAGGTACCACAAAAACAAGCTAATCTTGTGAATGGGCTATAAAAGTTTTACTCCATAGCTGCCTATTTTAATAAGATTCTCATATTCTAAACCAGACTGCTAATTTCAAACGTACCTTGCTGGAATCCTTTCATTCTCTGTTTTTTCCCTGGTTCCTTAGAAAATGATGATCCTAAAGCAGTATTTGAGACTTCTTTTGCTTGTCTGTATTGTTTCAGCTGCTTGACAAAATCTTCTTCTGTTTCCTGATTATAGTTACCGAAGTTGTCATCACTATAGTTACCAAAGTTGTCATCACTGTACGGACTGTATTCATCATAGTCTTTAGTTTTAAATTTTTTGTTATGTGGCTCTTTCTGGGATGTCATGTAGCTTCCTGATATATGACCATGCTAAGTAAAAATGGACAATTTATCAGGATTTTTCACTTCTACATGGCAATTAATAGTAACACAGAGCATCTTCTCCCCCTCCCCCAGAAAACTGGAAGAAAGAAGGGTGAAAAAGATAGTTATTTGTCATGTTTCTTGATTAGTACTCAGTTACACTATTAAAACTAGGTTCCAAAAGTTAAAAGCTTTTCTGACATCGTTAAACATTTTAATGTTCATGCTTTAGCTTTTATTTACAAAGTTCCATGCCAACATCTAGATTTTCATTAAACACAGAATACTTAAAATTGACATCATTATACATGAATTCTTTCTGCACAGTAATAAAAGGACTTTTTTGAAAATATGGAAGATAGTAGAAAAGCTTTGGGGAGTGGTGAGGTGGAAAACTATATTCTCATAACTTGGGAAATTTCAAAATTACTTAGATGGTTAAATATTAACTAAAATAAATATATTTATATTTCCACTTTTAAAAATAGTATTTTATTATTGCTTCATGATATATTTCAATACTTCAGGATTAAAAGCCACTCTGTTAGTGACTAAATTAAAATTTTCCTCTGGCAATTTGATGGTTGTCATAAAAGTTTTTAATTTTCCATATTAATTTAATTTTTCACAGCCTTTACAAAAAAATTGCCACATTCCTATCTTTTTACAATGATTTATCCCTAAACTAACTATCCATGTATACACTCCCTAGTTTCCCCAGAGTGAAAATATTCCCAATAGCCAGCCTCCTAGCATAGGCAAGCATTACATGCTAGGGCTCCTCAGTAAAAAACCTCTGAAGTCATTTGCCAGAGACTTTGGCATAAGGATCAGAGGGCGACGCCTGTGCTGAGAGCAGTTCTGTCCAGGCTGAAAGGGATGAGCAGTCCAGTTCTCTAGGAGAATACCTGCTAGGTTTTACATACTCACCACTGGACTTAACAAAATATATTCAATCAGTAAAGGTCAACAAATGTTTTTTTCAAGGCCTAATGGGACGGACACAGGATCCCTGGTAGTGTAGTGGATTACAAACTGGCCTGTAAACCACAAGGTCAACAGTTTGACTCTACCAGCTGTTCCACAAGAGAAAGATTAGGCTTTCTGCTCCCATAAAGATTTACAGGCTCAGAAATCTATGGAGAGTCACTATGAGTTAGAACCAATTTGGTAGCAGATAACAACCAACCACCACAAAGGAACATAAAAGAAATAAACCAAAAGCACCATATCTACTGCCACTGAGTCAATTCAGACTCAAAGCAACCCTATATAGAGTTTGTGAAGCTAGAAATGTTCATAGGAACGAAGTCTCATCTTTTTCCCAAAGAGCGGCTGGTAGATTCGAATGACTGGACCATGATTCTCAGTTATTTGGCAGTTGTATAATAATGTAATTTGGCAGTTATATAATGATACAGTCTTCCTCCATTTTTGCATAATGCCCAATTTTGCAAAACTACCTGGTCTTTGAAACCTAACCATGTCAATAAGAATAGGTGTATTTTGCAATAAATGGTCAGTACACATACATACAGATATACACACATACTTAACACAGATGTATGGGGAAAAAGACCTGGAATGAAAGAGAAGAACAGAGAGAGAGGAAAATAAACATCAAACTGAAAGTTAACATCTACTGAAAAGAATGAAGAGTACTGGAAATGAAATATGGATTATGCTTTAGTCTTTCATAACTCTTTAACTCTTTTTTGAAACAATGATATTGTATCTACGGTGATATATAATAGCCAATATAAGATGAAAATAAATAATTTCATAATGTTTAAAGAATACGAGGCATTTAAACAAGTGCACTGTTGTTTATGCATACAAATTAACCCTGCCATTCAGCATAGTCACCAAGAAGGCTCTCTATTAAATACTACCACTGCTGTAAATAGTCTGGATCTCCTCTTTTAGTAACAACTATGAATTCAGATGTTACCAATCTCACTATTCGATATTTTCAAATGCCGTGTTAATGTGAAATACAAAAGTCCATCATGAGCATCATTTTATTCACTGGAGGAGTCCCCAAATGAGTTTTGACTATTTCTAAATAATAAATTCAACTAAAATTGAAACACCAAATTAATGCTTGCTGAATTGATTTTAAAATAGTTCTAATGAATAGTTACTCAAATGTTTTGAAAATGGCAGTACCATTGACCCCAAAATCAATATAAGTATACATCCTAATACTCACCTAACTTGATAAAAGTTCTTGAGAGATATACATTCCTTTTTAAGCTTGAAAGACATTTTAATAAAAGTTATTTATTCAGTGTTTACTGAACTATCTTAAGTTTTTTACAAAAAAAGCAAGTCAGAATTTTGAATTAACTCTAACATACTAATTTGTTTTCTAAATTTACCAAGACATTGTTGTTGGTTTAAGTGCTGTCGAGTTGGTTCCCACTCATAGCAACCCTGTGTAGGGTTCCTGAGGAGCAGCTGGTGAGTTTAAACCGCCTACCTTGCAGTTCAAACCGACCTGATTGTCGAGTGCTTATCCTACAGCGCCACACCAGGACTCCACAAGGCATTAGGAAGAGCAAATTAGTAAAAGGAATAGAGCTTCTATAGACAGACTAACAGAAGCACAGGGTCAGAGTGGCAGAACCCAGAACCCAGAAAGAAAATCATTGCAGATAAATGCACACTCCCCAGTGATGTTGAGAGCATCAATATTTTTCTAGCAGAGAAAATAATTCATAGCCACAATGAAGACTTTGTTCATACAGTACAATGTATTTAAGAAAGACAAAGTGTACCATGTTATTTGAAAATTATTTCTCAAACACTTGAAATAATTTGTGTTATTAAAGACGTTACCTATATTCAAAATTCAATACTGTCTCATTTCCTAATAGTTAAGGATTAATAGTATTGCTATGTATTCTTTATTTTCAAAGATTTAAAAATTTTTAGTATGTATCTTATAAAACAACATTTTCAAACTATCAGAAAGCAAGGGAATAAAACTGAAAATTTCGGTTTCTCTTTAAAAAGCAATACCTGAAGAAATGGAATGTTATAATCCCTGTAGAAACTAGTTCCTTTCTTACGGGAACTCTCTGTGTGTTCAACATCTGAAGCAAGGCTGTAGTCTGAACTATCATCACTAGACGGAGAATTATGCTGAAGGAAAAAACAAATATGTTACATTTACTAAAGGAAAAACACAACTAATAACGAGATACACTGGCTTCACTCAAAGGTGCCAACTAGATAATAGCGTCATAGTAGACTCTCAAGTATTAATTAATAAATTCTTGTTCTAAAGGCCATTCTCACATCAACTTCCATGGTATTCTGAAGACTTTATGTCAGCATGTTCCTCATCATCTCTGACTTCAAACAGAAATATTACAACCCTATGTGCTAAATGGAGTCCCTGTGTGGTGCTATGGGTTAATGCGCCAGACTGCAAAGCTGTTTGAACTGCAAGGTCAGCAGTTAAAGCTCACCAGCTGCTCCTCAGAAACCATATACAGGGTCGTTATGGGTCGGAACCGACGCTACAGCACTTAACAACAACAACAATGCTCTGCATGGAGTCCTGGTGTGGTGCTGTGTTGTTAACGTGCTGGACTGCAAAGTCGGTTTGAGCCTCAAGGTTGGCAATTCAAGCTCACTCCTTGGAAACCCCATACAGGCACTTAACGACCAACAACAACATGCTCTAAATGGCGTTCTGGTGTGAAGCTTTAGTATAAGCACTGGTCTTCTAACTACAAGATTGGCAGTTCAAACCCACCAGCAGCTCCTCAGAAACCCTATATTGGATTGTTATGAGTGTGAACTGACTGGGCAGCACTTAACAACAATGCTATAAATATACTCAGATTTAGCTAATCTTAAAGGAAGTAAAATGGATCCCTTATTATCAGAAATGATCCTAGAATATGACTGGAGTATGTATTAGTATTTCTTTAATCTAAAATGACTTTATTGTTATTGTTGTTAAGGGCTTTAGAGCTCTTGTATTCTATTTTATAACCATACTAATGGGATAGCAAAACATTTCAAATAAGAAATACAATCTGTAGAACTGAACAAAACTGTTATTAAAACAATAAATGATTGACTGATTGACAAATATCGACAAATACCGAGTTTAAGTTTTTTTCAAGTATGAGTGCAGTTTTCCTTAATAAAAAAAAAAAAGTCATCAAATCTCTAGCTGTTTACAACAACCTTCCCAGATCCGCTGCTTAAAAAGTTCTTGAAGTTCTAATCAAGTGAAGACACTAGGTCTGCATTTTATCATCCTTGCTTTCCTAGTATCTATGGCTGGTGCAAACACAGTAAAAATTTGCTGAACTAAATTGAACTCTGATGTTTACAAAGGGAAAGAATCTGTTTTCCTCAACTGTACTCCTTTGTGCTGGAGGACAAACTCTATTCTTTCACTCTGTTTTCAAATGCTCTGGCTCTGGGGTGGCTGTATTGTGTTGATTTGATGGTAGTGGTGGTTGTGTGCCGTGAAGTCAGTTTGGACTCATAGTGACCCTGCATAGGGTTTCCGAGGCTTTGTCTTACTTTTTTCCGAGGTTTACAGGAGCAGAAGTCTCATCTTTCTCCTGCAGAAGAGCTGGTAGTTTCAAACTGCTGGGGTTCGCAGCCCGATTCGTAACCACTATGCTACCAGAGCTCCTTATTTAAGAGGAAAAGCGCATAAAAAAACTTGAAAGTCGTTTTTTCTTATATTTTTGCATTGTCTGATTTTCTTTGAGGATATAGTTTTTTTTAACTTCAACCACAAAGAAGATATTCATTTAATGTTTTCCAGAAGCATATGCTGAGTACTATTTGGGATGCTTGGTTGTTGTTAGCTACACACCCAATGAATCAGCTCTAATGCCTGGCAACCTTACATTTAACAAGACAAAACATTGCCTGGTCTTGCTCCCATCTTCTTCGATATATTTGAGTCCACTGTCAAAGCTACTGTGTCATTTATTTTAGGGTTTCCCTCATTTTTGCTGAAATTCTACTTTAGCAAATATGGTGTCCTTTTCTAGCAATTGATCTTTCCTGGTGATGTGTTCAAAGAAAGAAAAGAGAACTGAAGTCTCATCATCCTTACTTCTGAGAAGATTCTGGCTGTTATTTCTTCTGAGACTTATTTGTTTGTTCTTCTGGTAGTCCATGGTATATTCAATATTCTTCCACAACACCACAATTCAAATGCATCAGTTTTTCTTCATTCTTCATTTTTGCTGTCTAGTTTTCACATGCATATATGGCAAGTGAAAAGAATGAGGTATACCTTAGTCATCAAAATGATATCTTTATTTCATAAAGCTGTAAAGAGATCTTTGGAGTCCTGGTGTGGCGCTGTGAATTAATGTGCCACACTGCAAAGCCGTTTGAACTATAAGGTCGGCGGTTCAAGCTCACCAGTTGCTCCAGGGTACTTATGAGTCAGAACTGACTCGATGGCATGTAACAACAACAACAATAACAACAAAGAGATCTTTTGCAGCAGATTTGCCCAATGCAGTTATGTTGTTTGATTTCCTCAAAGCTACTTCAGTGGGAGTTGATTGCTGCTCAATGAGGTTGTCACAAACATTCCACTGAAAAAACACAGTATCTGTGTTGCACAATAGAGCAGAGTGCAGTAAAATAAGCTATGCCTGTATTTTGTTTCATCATTTATTTTTATGTCTATGATCCATCTCCCTAATTTTACCAGATAAAAACAAAGTTCCTTGTGGAAATAATTATATGTATGTTTTTCTTCTTTAATCAAAATATTTATCACAGCATAACCCAGTAAACGCTTATGTATTACCTAATTGGTTCAGGTTAGTGGAAGAGTTTACAGAGATATAAATAAGTAAATCTTACAAAGAGGAACTTAAATAAAGTTAAAAGTGAGGGCAAAGAGGCTTGAGAGCTACTGCTACTGTACTGTGGTAGAACAGATTCTGACTCACAGCAACCCAACAGGACAAAATAGAATTTAAATGTACTATGGGTTCGGACCCGACTCAATGGCACATAACAACAACAACAATGGGTTCTCAAGAATAAGGAGCTCTGGTAGCGTAGTGGTTACGAATCGGGCTGCGAACCTTAAGGTCAGCGGTTCGAAACTACCAGCCGCTCCGCGGGAGAAAGATGAGGCTTCCTACTCCCGTAAGGATTTACACCCTCGGAAACCCTGTACAGGGTCGCTATGGGTCGGAACCGACTTGACGGCACTTAACAACAACAACAACGGGTTCTCAAAGCTACAAATATATGGTGGTGGTGTGCCATATTTGACTCAGAGAGGCCCTGCATAGGGTCAAAAGATAGGGTTTCCAAGCCTGTAAATCTTTATGGGAGCAGAAACCCTATCTTTCTCCTGCAGAATGGCTGGTAGTTTCTAACTGCTGACCTTGAAGTTAGCAGTCCAACTCGTAACCACTACACTACCAGAGCTCCTTTACAAATTATGTGTGTGTGTGTGTGTGTGTGTGTGTGTATGTAATGCTTTGAGTGAAAGTTTACACAGTAAATTGGTTTCCCGTTCAACAATTTCTAAGTATCTTGCTTCATTACATTGTTAGCAATAGCTACCTTATAACAGCACTCTTACTACTTCCTTTCTCTGTTTACGGTTTTAAATCATCCTTCTTTCTTATCCTTCTTGCCTTCTGAGGTTTACCCCAGGGCAAATGTTGTCTTTTGACTTCATACAGTTAATTACTCTAAGAAGTGTATATCTCCTGTCTGTTGTTTGGCTGAAAGCTGAGCCATAGAGGGAGTTCAGTTCCAGGCCTGAAAAGTAACCAAGGGCCATAGTTTAAGGGGCTCCACAGGCTCCATCAGACCAACAAGCTTGATATTTTTTATGTTTCTGAGTTTTGTTCCATTTTTTCACCCCATTCTATGCAGGACTCTCTTATTGTGATCCCTTTCAGAACAATCAGCAAATGGTAGCCAGGTACCATCTGGTTCTTCTGGTCTCACGGTGGGAAGACTGAGGTTCCATTAGTCCTTTGGACTAACTGTTTCCATGTGTCTTTAATTTCCCCCATTTTTTGTTGCTCCAGATGGGGAGAAACCAACAGCAGCATCTTAGCTGTCTGCCTACAAGCCTTTAAGACCTAGTTGATGCTCAAAAAGTAGAATACAGAGAGCATCCAGTGAACTGTTGTTGTTGTTAAGTGCCCTTGAGTTGGTTCTGACCCACAGTGACCCTACCCTGTATAGGGTTTCCTAGAAGCAACTGGTGAGCCTGAACCTCAAACCAACTCTGCAGTCTAACACATTAACCCACAGCACCACACCAGGACTCCTTAGTGAATTGTACCATATGACCTTGACATCTCTGCAACTATGGTCCTGTAAAATTCACATGGGGGTGGCATCTGACCTCTGACTTCATAATGAGAAGGAAAATCAAAGTCCACAACCCAAGACCTTCCCCCCTCCAACCTTCTTTCCCAATTCTGACATCAACCATGCCTCCCACAGCACTCTTACCACTTCCTTTCTGCTGAGTAAATTTTTCATAGCAATGGCCACAAAGAACTCTCAGATAATACTTATGATTATTAGGGTAGTTAACAGATTATAATTTGAAATAGAACATGGTCAGGATAGTTCTTTAGTCAGGAATAACTCATCTCAGTCATGCCTCGAGGCATATCTCTCTGTGTGGTCTTCAGCCTCTCAGCCACATAGCCCCCTGGCCCCTGCACTGCTTGGCAACGTTACAAAGCTCTTCTAGTGCTGCTGTTCCACTCCGTTCCACCTTAAGGAAATCTCAGTTTCTGTCCAAAGAACTCCTTTTAGTATTCTGGATAAGGCTGATCTAGTTTTTAATAAATTCTTTTCATTTCTGTTTATATGATAGTGTCCTAATTTCATTGTCATATTTAACAGGCAATTTTGGTGAGTACATGAATCAATTGGCAACTTTTGTTATATATATGCTTTCCATTGTCTTCTTGTCTGCATGGTTTCTGCTGAGAAATCAGCACTTAATCTTTTTAGTTTTTACTTTTTCCTGAGCTCTGCTTAGGATTCTTTATCTTTCGTTTTGAAAAGTTGATTGTAATATGTTCCGGTGATTTTCTTTTGGGGTCTATCTGTTTGGAATTTGTTCAAGTTCTTGCCTTTCATAAAGTCAGGGAAGT